GGAAGGAAGGAAGGAAGGAAGGAAGGAAGGGTAGGGTAGGGTAGGGTAGGGTAGGGTGGCTGGTCTTACAACATGGATGCAAACCTCAAATGCTGGGTCAGGGGGAAGAATCCCCATTCCAACTCCGAATGTATTCATATTTCTAAAAATGACAACCTGGACAGCTTGTGTGAGTGATTACCATCCATTCCACATGGCCATGCTATAGAGGGGGGGACAAGAGAGAATCACATTTTCCAAAAGTGCAGATATCTGAAAAAACTGGATTTCCCAGCAAGGAGAACCCTGTTTGGATGACTTGCAGTAACTTCGTATATGACAGACTTTGATAAAGAATGAACTACAAAAGGGTTTTGTCTGTCAACCATGTTGTTTTTCTGGATGACTGAGCTCAAACAGGTATTCCCTACCCCCAATTCCTGCCCCCCCCCAACACAATCAGCATTAGGTGTTATGGTCATAGTACCCTTTCTTCCCAACCTCTCAGCATTTTCCTCCTTCTGTATATTTTCCCCTCATTTCTTCAGACATTGGGACTTCCCCTAAGCATCCATGCTGCAGTTAGGAAATTTCACACTTTGGACTTCGGGACCTACTCTTTAGATGATCATGTTTTTACTCTACTGACACTAAAGATGGTAAGCCAGCCCAGGTGAACTTTCCATGGGGATAGGAGGAATGGTTTAGCTTATTCTGGTGAGAAGGGGCCTGAACCTCTGCTCCTCAAATTCCTGCCCTGTTTATTTATTTATTTTTTAAAATTATAATGATGGTAGAGTGGTGGAAACAGTCTTAATGAAGGTTCCTCACACATGGTTGCTGTAAACCTCCATATTTCTTCTTTGTAATAAGGAATTCATATATTATGTACACCACTGTCTGGAATAAAGTCCAGGGTGCAAATTCATGTTGTTAATATTGCTGAATATCTTTCAGATTGTCCAAGAATCCTGCCTTGGCCTGCTTAGCCACACAATGAATTGGGCCCAAGTGAAGTCTCTAAGATGTTGCGGCCTCACTGAGCCTGTATTGAACTGAGCTTTCCAGAGATCTAGACAAGAAGTATGAGTTTTCTACAAGAGCTAGTTTCACTCCTCCAAGACAGGAGAAGGTGAACAAACAGGGACAAAGCCTTAAGAAACTTGAGAACTGATTGACAACAGAGAAAGAGGTCCTGGAGCTCCTATCATGTCTTGGGAAGAAAAGGGAAGGGCAATGTAAGGACGAAAAATCTTTCATCAACAAACTGGAAGGAGAATTCAGGATCTGTCCTGGCTCTGACTCAGAGAGCTTTACTCCACTGAAAGAGAGACAACTCTCTGTACTATGAGGGTAAACGTTCTGCTGAAAGGAGGACATTATGAGAAAGGCTGAATAAATAGATTACATCCTGGGACAACTTTGAGTTAAAGTTAAGCTGCTAGGTGGAGTCTTCATTATGTGTATCATTTCTGCAAGCAGAGAAT